ACGTTCATTGTGATCCCCGTTTTCTTTGTTTTGAAGGAGGCTGTGATGATCCTTGGTCCATGAGATTCCCATCCTATAAGTGCATTTTGTGCTTGTTTGGACAGCATCAATGCAACTCCTTGTGTATGTGGGGCATTTTCTTGTTCATGTCCGGAGTATAACAGCAGCTCCCCTGAAGCTAGTCGTTGTTGTCCAACTTGCGTCCAATGTGTTTCACTGATCCCAAGCACCTCTAGGTTGTATCTCCTCATTTCTGCAGCAATTTGGAAAACTCTCCCAGTCTCCCACATTGTGCGAGCATTCCATGTACCTAAATAAATGGTTGCTCTGGTTGTCAGAAGGGGCATCGGCCTCGTGACTTCCGAAGAAACTCGGCTTTCATCATGAGGCGTCATAATTCTTGTAAACGAAGACCTCCTGACTCCCAGGGCAGAGTTTAAATGGTTTGAATAATTTTTTCTGGTTAGCGTTTTTTTAGCAAGTTAGTTTTCTACGGGATGGGGTCGCTAACCCCATGCCCAACCCTCCTCCTTTATCTGGGCTTGGGACCGGCAGTAGCCCCCGGAAAGGGACTCCAGGCGGAGTTTGTCCACAAATGTAAGTTAACCTTAAATATGCAAACATTGCGTGCGTAATTCACGTTATGAATCATATCCCATGTCAAGATTAAGTGCGACTCAGTGTTGGATTGTTATCGAGTTCATTCCAGCTGTTGTCAGCCTAAACGTATTTTTAAAACCCAAAGATTATAATTAGTTGTCGACAAAACGAAACAATCACCAAAATAAACTTTGATCGAAACGTTTTTAAATCCCCGAACATGAGATAATTCATCATTAATCAGTAAGAGTTGATAACTTCTCAGGTAGAGTTTTGGAGTTTTGCCGATGTACCTTATGTCGGAATTTAGTTTAGTGTGTGGTTTTGTTAAAATTATCCCAAATTATCTCTTTTCTGCAGGTTTTTAAGTATATTTAACAACGATCTTACAACTTACATGAAGTCCGATGGCAAATAGTTCTCGTATCTCTGCTATAAGTCATATTTTTCGTATTTGTCCTCTTTATGGTCTATACTTTCTGAAGCTGTTTGCTAGTTATATTTTGTATATGCCTTCAAACAACCTTTTACCCTTTAAGGTTATATTTTGACGGTATGAAAGCGAGGTTTTGTTTTCGGCTGGTTGTGCTAGGGCTTCAGCGTCGTTCAGAATGGAAATATCGTATTTTAGGATATGGATTGTAACTCGACAAAAGCACTGGTGTGGCTACTTGTCATAGCTGAACAAAAATTGTTGTGGATCTATACATGAGGGAAGATAATAGGTGAAAATTATACGATACATTAATAATAGGTTCACTACAGATCAACAGCTGATCGATAAGTGTACAAGTTCTGTGCTATTTACTTGTCTAGTTAATAGTCAAATGTGAGTATATGTAACTGGGATGTCGTTGACGTTAATTAATCAATAGCTTAATTCATGTATATAATTCTCAACGTTAATAAATTACTGAGTTCTTTATTCTATTTCTAACAGTTCTCAGTAGTAAACTTCCGCACGGTGCTCTTCACAATCGAGAACTATGAACTATTCAGACCACTCGCACTCCATTAAAGTATGGTTATTTATGATGTCTTGAGTGCTAACTAGTGATTAGCGTCGAGTCGTTTTTATGTTCTTAAGTGATGCTAAATTCTTTGAGTAGAATCTATTCATAAATTTACAGTGATGCATATTTGCTAATGAGTTTATTCGTGTTTGGTAGGCTCTTCGATAATCATCTCATCTTTTAGATCTTATTTCAAAAAGAAGTCAATCCAACTTTTGTTTAGCCACTTGTCAGATGATTTTTTCTGACTCAACTGCTCAATCGAATTGTTAAAAAAATTCATTGATGCTGTACTTTTTTTCATAACTAATTTCTCGGTCATGTATGCCATGGGCTAACACTATTCGGAATGTTATATGATGACACATTAAAGTGGATTATATTTTCATAAAGGTAGGGATAGGAGTAAATGAATAAGATATTGTTAAATTTTCCAATGATATACAACATTGCGAATGAGTCGCTGGTTTATGATTACAATATTTTTGAGTATATAATTAGGAAAAGCCTTGAACATTCTTATCAACGTTGAACGGATAATCAATACATATCTCGCCGGCGATCTTGAGTTGTCACAAAATAACTATAAAGTTCTAAGATCACTAAATGAGTCGTTACATGACTACTGAATTGTATCGTTTTTACATGTTTGTTCATTGATCAGTATTATTATTATTATTATTATTATTATTATTATTATTATTATTATTATTATTATTACTATTATTATTATTTGAACACATAAATATTGGTACAAGAGGGCACCAAATATATATGCGCCACACAAATCTAATTTAATTCGTGTGTGGGCTGTGATACTGCTCGGGTGCCCAAACTGCAGCAGGTAGTTTTCTTAGGGGGCTACACCCGGAACCTTTGACCTAAAGGTCTGACCCACAAGGCAGTGGAGCATCGTAAGGAGATGCAGTCTCATGGTAGCCGATGACCAACGACTGGTTCATACGCCATTTGTTCCCGGAGGATACTGGAGCCCATGTGCACCATTGGTTTGGGGTCCGGTTAAAGCCCCGGACATTCGCTTTTCGTCCTCTCATTTTCGTAAACAACACCAGTGATGTGAGAAGACAGTGAGTAGAACTTCCATGGCAGAGGCTTTATACGCGTGACCGTATGAGAACATTTCGAGAGGGAGGGCAGGCTCACCCCACTCTCGGCCCTGGTAGAGGCTATATACGCGTAGCCATGTGAGAGCATTTCGAGAGGGTGAGCGGACTTTCCTCACTCTCGGCCGTACCAGGGCTGATAGTGTAATAATAAGACCAAGACTATTACATAGTTCCGATAATCTTTGTCTTCTTATTACACTATCGAAATATAACAGTTTCTGAAGTCGTTTGTTGTCGAATTCAACTATAGTTTCAACTTGAATTCGTTGATGTATTGTGGACTACCTTATTCAATGGTAATCGGAAATATGAAGTTATATTATTTTGCTTGTTTCCAACATCCTGCGATATAAATGACAAATTAATGATCTTACCAAATTGTTCTTTGCTATATAATCATTGATAACCAAATATCAATCCATTGCTCTAAAGACTCGCAAATGACTAACTGATCTCGGGAATTATTTTTACACCTTGCAATGATTCATACTTCTAGTTGAAATCGCATACATATAAACCCAGTGAGAACTAGAATTGTATTCGGAAGTCCAACTAATTGGAAAAGCAATTAATACAATCTATAAAATGTACACTAATATATATACAAGCGGTATTAATTATAGCGATATGTATTAAAATAGTTGATATGATAACATTCAGTTGTCTTATATGTTTCTGATTTTTCGTAGTCTTAACATGTTCAAACTGGTTTCGTAATTTTATCATGATTTTATCTTGTTAATTAGATAGTTAGTCTACGATTATTTACTACTTAATCAGTTTAAATGTTTTATTGACAGCAATTATGAACATCTATAACTACGTGGTGTATACCAGTTCGGTATTGCAGTGATGGACTGCAAAATCATAGTATTTACTTTTCCGTATATAGTCCTTTTAAGTCATTACTTGGTATTTGTGATGTTTATAATATATTTGGATTGAAGTGAAATCTTGAAAAAGCAATACGGAAAGAAGTTTTATAGAGTTAAAACATTTAATATATATATATATATATATATATATATATATATATATATATATATATATATATATATATATATATAATTTCATTATTAAACTTGTATAATATGAAGGGCATCTGCACTATTTAAGTTTATGCCATATTTCAATTGGTTGTAAAGCTGCAGAAATGTATTTGTATCAGACACACATAACAGTGTAATTAGATTTAGTATTTGGTGTGTTCAATCATTCGGATTGACTTAACTAATTCTAACACTGTATACACATTATTAGATTTCATGATAATACACAGAACAATGGTATAACATTGATTCATTTAAAATTCATCATGATTGAGATATGTAAAGAAATCAATATAGAAGTTTAGGAAGTAGAAAGAAAGCAAGTATAAGTAAAGTAGTAAGCTAGGGTAACAGTATGAAAATTAAGTGCCAAGATCCCTTATCCATGGCTTAGTAATTGTCAATCTGTCTCCCTATATGTATTATTAAAGTATTTGTGTACAACATTAAATCTCAGCCTCTGTCGTCCGATCAACTTGGATGATATCACCAGACTTCAGACAAAATATTTGTAGCTCAAAGTCAGATACACAGAACCCAAATTCGTTAAATGGATAGCTACCCACTATATTTCCACTTTCTATATATGGATTCAACGTAATGTTCTAAATTTATGAAATTCCCAGTGTTCTCATCAGGGTGGTTAGTTTCGTGAAATTAGCGTTTTATTAATTTGGATTGACTGAATACATACAAACTGTCTAGATCACTCTACTTTCTAAATAACTATCAATAATGTTTCGAAGTAGTATTGTATCCTAGTTGAAGGGGTTAAATTTATAGTTTGTATTCGTCACTGACTTGTCTCACCATTGAAAATCATTAAGCATTGGACAAAAATCTTTCGTTCTAACATGGTCAGCTCCACCAGCATTTACGTTAAGATGTTCTTGAAATCGTAACTGATGGAGTCCAGAAATGTCGTATGTAAAACACGTTTTCATCAATGGCACTAGATGTACGTTTCGTGATATCGAGAAATGATTACAGTTGAAATTATGCCGTTGGATGGTGACTCTGGTTCTACTGATTAAGCGTTCGCCATGTGATCTGAATTTCTAGGGTTCGATCTTTGATCTGGTTGCTGTGGTTGAGAAGTATGTATATCGAATCGATTTGATCAATTATTCTTCAAGTAATGTGTGTAATATTCAATTTGTTTTATGTCATTTCTACTTTTTTTAATTTTCATATCAGTTTTGTGCATCGAAATGGATATTAGTTTGTCAGATAATATATTAACGTCAGAATTAGATGATCAACTAGTCAGCATTTCTAATCATCATTCTCATTCCAACAATACTGTATCTACACATGTCAGTAATTGCAATGATTTCACCGGAACAACATATTTTACTACTAATGTTTTAGGTAATGTTATCACACACAACTTACAACATGTAGCTAATTTACAAAGTGATTGTAATAATAGTGTTTTACTTGATGAGCAAGATGTTGATCACAATATTGGCGTCGGTAATGATAATGATGTTGTTAGTGACGATAATGACGATAATTTATTTGATGATTTATCCGCTGCAATCGAGGCAATCAATGAAGCGAATCGTTTAAACTCTGCGTGTGATAATGATATTGATGAAATTGATGGAGTTTGCTGTGATGATGATGAGAGTGGAGTTGTAGTCCCCAATATTATGTCATCATCATCAGCAGTACAACAGTTACAATCACTGAGAAATAATGTCCCAGCTATCACAACTTTCCACTCAATATCGTCATCATCATCACCATGCCATTTTGTGACACATCCATTATTTGCAAATATTCCTATCACCACTACAACCGCAATTGGTACTGCCACTACAAATCAATTGACTTTGTTTAAATGTGATACTGCCGACCAAAAAGTTGAAGAAAATCAATATATACATGAAAATGAAAATGTGGTTGAAAAACCAGATCCAACTGAGCTGGGATCTAATAATTGTATCAGTCATATACCGTCGTTAATGACAGCTTCATCATCACGTTCCATGAGTTCGGTTCAATCAAGTTGGCGTTTATTATTACGTCCAATATTTGAGAAAGCTTTAATTGAACGGTTATGGACTAGTGGGGAATTGGGGTCGTCAAATCCACACTCTTTATTATTATCAATGTGGTTTTATATTTCGCGTCATTTCGGTATCGGATGTCGTACAGATCATGCCAAACTTGCATATGGCAATATTGTAATAGGCGTGAATTCGACAACTGGTGAACGTCATTTACAGTTTACTAGGTAAGTGTAGTAATATAAACACAAACATCTTTATATATATATATATATATATATATATATATATATATATATATATATATATATATATATATATATATACTCATTGGGATATTACAAATATATTATTTATTTATAACAATCAACCCAATGCTCAATTTATTCGAAATTATCAAATCAAACATTGGTAATGATACCTATGATCTTCAAATGTCAACATGAAAGATTTCAGAGAACAGAACGATTAGTCAATTGACTAAATACACGATTTTACACCGTTTGGTTGATCATTGATTAAGCAAGGATGAGTGTAAAAAAATAACAATTTTTTTACCCTGTATTCTCGATTATGAGATAATTTTCTATAACATTACGTCCATACTTACTCGGTTACTTCGTTCAACAGAGTCGTATTACCAGGTAAACTACAGCATGTTAATAATCTTAATCTTAGATACGACTAAGGATTTACAATTATATCATCCATCTCAAGATGGCTTGGACTTCTATATACACTGATAAAGACTTAGATAAGAGAAACGCATATAATCGTTGATAATCACATTGAAGATCGTTTTTATTTCAGTAAAAGAAACCCAATAAGTCATTAAATAAGATGAAGAAATTCTATCAAAGAAAATTCTCTTTTCGACGATATCTTTTTATTAGGGCTGTACACCCGTGTTTATAGTTATTTTTACAAGTAGTGGTCTATTAAAATAGCGATCTATTGCGTGAATTATTAAAGTACTAAAAGTCGATCAAAATTTAATGTTACTTAATGGTCCATGGGACATATGAAACGAGATATGGAAAATTATCGTTGTGACAATTGAAAAGAAAGTGAAATTAGGAACAAAAGTATGTCAAAATGAAACGTATAGCAGAGATATAAAAGATAATTGTCCACTTGAAGAATATAAGAAGATGAAGAGAATGCAAACATGTGCCAAGAAATAGCTGACGAAATGCTAAGGTATGTTAGGACCACGATAAACTAAGGGGTTATGCATACCGGTTCTGAACACAAACATCTGGCTTAAGCCGACAGATCACCTGAGTCTCCACTATGCACAATCTTCGTAACTAGCTTCTTTTAGAACTAGTTCGTTTTACTTAGTGAATGATTTTGAATGATGATTCTGGTGGGAATAAACGACAAAAATTAACTAGATGTTCAACAATCGAGCTACTATATTCACCTTTGGTGGAATGAACGGTGAGTATTGTTTGGTCAAAAGCCGTAGCGCCCGATGGGGGGCTCGAATCCCCGACCCTCAGATTAAAAGTCTGATGCTCTACTGACTGAGCTAACCGGGCTCACCTTTTGCCCCCAAATGCCCTGGTACGGCCGAGAGTGGGGAGAGTCCGCTCTCCCTCTCGAAATGCTCTCACATGGCCATGCGTATATAGCCTCTGCCAGGGAAGTCCTACTCACTGCCTTCTCGTGGCGGGGGTGTTGTTTACAAAAATGAGAGGACGAAAAGCAAATCTCTGGCGCTTTAAGCGGACCCCAAACCAATGGTGCACATTGGCTCCAGTATCCTCCGGGAACAAATGGCTTATGAACCAATCGTTGGTCACCGGCTCCCATGAGACTGCATCTCCTCACGATGCTCCTCTGCCTTGTGGGTCAAACGTTCAGGTCAAAGGCTCGGGGTATGGCCGCCTAAGAAAACCACCTGCTTCGGTCTGGGCACCCGAGCAGTATCACAGCCCTCACACAAATCAATTGAGATTTGTGTGGCGCATATGTATTTGGTGCCTCCCTGTGTTAAAATAATAATAATAATAATATTCACCTTTTGATAATAATGCTGGATGGTGCTCGAAAATGCGATTAAAAAGAGCACGCTTTATAAGAACGGCTATTATAGCAAACCCCACAAGAGCAAATTACAACGTAGATATACATTGTTGTGGTCGAATGTGGTGGTTTATTCTTGTCACATCATTGTATCTGGTATCTGCTGTAGAATACAATTCGTAGTTCAGTTGGATGGAAGGTCTTATTCAAGGATTCGGATAATCGATTTTGGCGGGAGCGTAATTTTTTTCTGTTCATTTTGTTAGTTTCATCTCACTCTGAATATCGTATATGGAAACTTAGTTCAATACATTATTTGTACTTAATCGCACTATGATTATAACTGACTGACTGAAATACTTGTGTTTTGTTGTATATGTATATTGAATAAGTAACTTAACATTTCATAATCCTCATTATTTTTATAATTAACTTGATCTATTTTCATACTTAGAAATCCTTACTAACTACTTGTGGTTACTATTATGAATGTATCTTTATATTCTAGCCTCCCACATGGAGCTGTTTCAGTGGGAACATTTAGAAAAATATCAAAAAGTACTAAAGAGTTTGCACCACCGGTGAAACCACGTCAACCAGATACTCTTCTTCCTGAATGTCTCACGAAACCTGATCGTTGTCCAGTTCGTTTATTTGAAGCTTTCTGTTCACATCGTCCATGCTCTTCAAACTCTATTGAATCTCCATTCTATTTACAACCTGAACGATGTAATTCCATAATTCATGCATCAATGAATAATCCAACTTGGTTCACATCAAATGCTCTTGGTAAAAATAAAATTGGTTCAATGTTGAATGGTGCATTACAAAATATCGGTATGCCTGTTGGTCGACAAGTAAATTTAGGCCGATTCTGTGATTCATTAATCGCTGCAGCATTTTCACACTCCGGTGGTGGTAATGTCGGTGAAGCATTACGTAGTTTATTGTTTTTAAATTGTCGACCAAATCATCATATACCAGAATCATTATTACCAAGTATTACATTGTATGCAGAGAATATTGTACAAATGTCAACAACACCGAATTCACCAGTCTATACATATTTAACTAAGATATGTTCAATGAAAGCTGTGAAAAATGTTAAAAAAACCAGTTTAAAACTAGCAAAAATTCCGTCGAAACTATCGTATTCCGTAAACGTTAATCATAAAAGTAATAACCATGATGTTAATGATAATGATAACGATGATGGTAATAATCATTCAACAAATGTCACTAGTAATTTACCTGTAATTTCTACGACAAGTCACAATTGTATTGATAGAATCGGCGTGAATAATTTGAATCCATTGTCGACTGCTCCTACTGAAGGAAATGTTTGTATTAATTCAAAACAGACAACTTTTCGTTACAAGTATGTATTGGTGATGTTTTTGCATGTCTATGTATAATAATACGAAGTTGTTTTACTGTTATTTTAGTGTCGACATACTTGAAAGCAGAGAAATTCCACATTAAGTCATAAATTCATTTCACTGATTATATTGATCTGAACTGTATGAAAGAAATAACATGTAAATTATAAACCCCAGTTAGAATCTGTCTAAAATCGTTCGTCTTGAGATCTCATACATTCTCTTCGTCATTTGGTTCTTTTTAGTCTCGAACTTGGTGTCAGTACAAAATTTTCCATTCCTTCTTTTGAATCGGTAACTCAATGGTGAAATATTTGTCTTTTGAACGCTTACTCTAAAGGTTGAGCCCCACTTCATTTACTTTATTTTGGACAACTATAGCAATCACACTTGGTGCGACTCATACCCAAGTACCTGGTGAATGAGTTAATCTACATATTTCATATTTTTAAACTACATATCATTTAAATTCACTTGGTATTGTTTACTTGAATCTTCCCATCGATTTATAGGACTGCAATTGATCAGTCATTATCCATCTTTGTTTATGATGTATGTCGTTTGTTTAGCTTTTCATTTTAATTATTATTATCATCATTATTTCCGCTTGTGCAACCTCTCCACTTCATTAATTTCTTCTCATGATGCTGGTGAGACGTTGAATAATTACCGAGTCCTAATTTCTCTATGACTGACTGAAATTTCATTCATTAGAGAGATGTGGTATTCCAGTTTATGGAGTCATCGACTCCTATTCGATCACCTTAATTAATGGTTTCAGACTTCGGGTGACAGTTCAGAATCGGTTACAATGGCTCAGATACATTCACTCTTTGTCTTCTTTTAGATTTAGAGTTTTAAAATTAACTGATATTTTTTTTCTCACTAATTCATCCTTTCTTCTCGAACAATATTATCTAGACCTAGATTTTTCTACTGCCACTGATATTGTTACTAATTATATTACTCGTGAACCTCTGTCTTGATATGATATGATATGATAGCTTGGATCAATGCACATGTCTAAAATGTTTTACGTTTCCATTCGCTTATAGACTTACCAATTTACTAAGTTGTCTAAATTTATGTAGTACGTGGCGCATGTGTGGAGTTATGACTCATAGGTTTTTAAGTAGAATTAATACACTGTTAACAATCTTACCTTATGTACTCAGAGTCCACTTAATATATTTCATTACGGGTATTATATTTAAAACCTACACAATAAACGTGTTTTTTTGTCCAAGAACCTGCTAAATATGACAATATCGAATCCGGAAATTTCAAATAATTAATTCATCTCATACTTCAAATTGTTATTATTAACATTGACTATAAAATCGAACAATTTACTATTGAATATTGCCAATGAAATTCGGATATATGCGATGAGCAAGTTATGTGACCCCTCATCAGTGTTTATCCACGACCTAGCATCTGAGAAACAAACTCGGGACCTTAGGTCTTCCGGGTGAATGGTAGATCTCTAGACAACGGAGTCAACCGGATAATATCATTAGCCCCCACACTTAAAATATGACTCATAACCAACTACTTGATGAATGAGTCAATTAAATTAAATAATTTAATTAGATAAGCAAGTATTAGGGTACAATTTAATTTTCCTTATCTACTTAATTCCTTCGATGTTGTTATATCACAATACCGTTTTCCTTTTTGTTCAGAGCAATTTTTGTGAAAAATCAAGTTTTAGAAATTTCTTTTAATTTATTATTTTTTTTTCAAGTAGCATTTTGGATTTTGTTCTTTATCCTCAGATCCATATAATAAAACTAGTTGTTAGATTGGAGATCGGTATTTTAGTGTTTTCTTTATGTACTAACTATTTAGCGTTTACGTCCATAAGAAGAAAACTACTTTTAAATTCATTAATCCATCGGAAATGAATGTTTTTGAGTTAGTGGAATTCAACTTTTAACTATTAAGTCACAGGTTCGAACTCAGCTCCACCCACATCGGTTTTGACAACCGGGTAATAATATTAGCCCTCTCACTTAATGTGACTCAAAACTAAGTGTACGAATCTGCACCTGGTTGACTGTTGTGTTACAAAGCGACTCGCTCTCAAGCAACGTGTAGTCTTGTATGCCATTAAGAATTTTTCTCTCCCTCCTATAAAGTACAATTGTGAACAATTGTTCTCTATTATTCCCAGTGGATTTGTTATTCAACAATTAGAAATGGTTGTGGATTTTCTTTAAATCTATTCAAGTGACGTTGATCTTCCGTCCAGTGCTTCCAGGTTTTCCATGGTGGTCTAGCTTTAACTGACTCATGAATTCGACTATTAAATTACATGTTTTAGTTTTTCTGTTTTCTTTTTAATAGTCGAGTTCATTAATCGATCTAAGCTAGACCACCATTTATAAAAAACCTAATCACTATTTCTTTCATGATGGTGCAAATGATTGGATGATTTGGGCGGAGTCCTGTTGGAGTTTCATTGGGTGGTATAACTCAGACAACTAAACAATACCAAAAAGTTATTATCACACTACTATTAATAATCAGAAAGTCAGTACATTATATGAGTCACATCATCAAAACTTTCTGGTTTGTGAAATGACCTTTATTATTCTGTTAAATCTCCCTCTATCCTGCTCCTCTCTTGTATTTTATACTTTTCTTGTAAATTTGTCTTGCAAATAATTATGCTTAATACACAATGTCTAGACGCTCATCACTTTCTCATAGTCATAAATTTATTTTTTAATTGGAAGAAATATGATGTGAAGTTCGTTTTTATTGAATCCTTCTTTTCACTTTTCGAAAGTTTAATTCCGTCTCATTTTGAATTATCTTTATCTTTAAGGTGTGAAAAGTTTACAACTTATTTGTCTGTCTTTTAAAATAGTAGCAGTGAGATAGAAAGAGAACTGATTGATTTACTGACTGACTGACTGGTTGTTAAAAAGAATAGGTCAAACATAATTATCCATACCTTCTAATGTAAAAAATACCATTGAAATCCATTAAATCCCACAAGCCAGTCCAGTTGTGAAACACGCTAATAACCGAAGTGTATCTTTCAATGGACAATGAAGAGTATTCTTGTCACGCTTAATCAGACAGATCATGTAATACTGAAAAGTACTATGATGTGGTTATCAGATGTTTGATTGCTTTGTTTGCTCAAACATCATTCGATGAATATGTTTTTAGGCAGAGAGGTGTGTATAACTTAACGAATTTGTTGTCAATCCTTCGATCACAGATTTACACTTACTCTAACATCACTGTTCAAAATTATCTTGTAGTACTGTAAAGCACGGTACATCGTGTTTTTATGAGTTGATCAGAATTTAGGTCTGGAGATTCCGTTTATGAATTATGGGTTTTTTAGTGGTTACTTCATCAACGATGTGTGATCTTTTGAAACTGTCAAATGTAGATGTTTAACATATCACTGGCGCTCAAGCACACAAGAAAATTTGTGATAATTTAGTAACCACTGGACATTTAAATATACTGAAAGAATTGAAACTGTTGTTTGTTAAATGTGAATAGGAATAAGGTTCATATGAGGATAATCATCCTTTTTCCATGTTGAATAAAAGTGCAATATCTAGCTTTCTTTCGAGCATTTTCCTGTTGATTTAATGAATGTCTATTGCATATAAGAGGGTAATATTCATTCCGAATTTCATTTCTGATTATGTATTTTGCAAACACGCTACTGTAGCACGTCACTTCTCAAATAAAAGAAGCAAATAAACTTTAACTTAGCGTGAAATGAAATCTTCAGTGAAAATTATGCTCTTTTATGCAACATTCACTCACTAATTATGAACGGAAATATGTGAGGTAGTGGAAACATATTAAACATTGTGTTACAAGTTCATAGACACGTAACCTGACCCATGAATTTCACATGAAACATTCACTGTTGACTACTTACTTCATTTCATTTTCGTGTCGATTTTGCTTTTTAGATCATACTCACCTTGAAGTGACATTATTTTATCATATTTATGAGATGATTCATACGTTAAAAGTACATAATATCCATGTGATTATTTACATTTGTATGTTTGTTTATGCCTACTAGTTGTTTTCCAATAGTCACAAGTAACTTTGATTCAAAATTTTTATTATATGACCAAACATGCTTAGTGTGGTTTGGTGAATCGTTCAAGTTTCTAAATTGGATTGAATATCTGTCTTACAATAATGTTCTCAATGACTATCTTCTTGCCGTGGTCATCCTGAACATCTTCAGTGTCCAATTAGTGCGTTACATCCAGTAGTTAGGTCACTTTACCATCCATTTAGTTAGTTATTTCTGTATATTGAAGTGTAATTTCAACCAAAGATTTCATTTCAAACGTTTAGAGTCATTTATGACTGTAGCCTGTGATACAGCTCAATATACTTAATGAAAGCTATAAAAATGGTGAAAGTCAGACTTTAATAAAATCTTTTAGGAAAATAAAACATTTGATGTATAATACCTACCCGTTTAATAAATTGAAAAATAGCCGAGATTTCTGGGTAAAACATATTCATTGAACATTGAGAACGTTGCAAATAAACTCAGTGACTGATAAAGACAATTTGTTGTCCAGGTGAACGCTTTTGGTGGTGCAAAGTTCCCCCGAGCTAGTGGAGATTTCATTGTCAATCTGGATATAGTGAGCAATGACATTATCAATCCCAGTGCGAGTGAAATATGAAATTAATTACATAAAAGCATAGTTGTATGATATGGTAAATATGTGTTCACGCAATGAGTGATGGAATAATTAATCTTACATATTATTCAATCCAAATTATACAAATCTGACTGTAAACAAATCATCTAAAAAGTAGTACATTCATATATCGTTTTGATTTATTTCTGGAGTTAAATAAATTCATATAATCAGTTTTTATGTTCTCACTATGCTTAGTCGTATTCAGGGTGCATGCTAGAGATTCTTTTTGAGTTCTAATCTGAACATTAGTATATTGGAATTTTAGGATCATTCACGTGATGTAACACTTGTAAGATTGATAAATGCAGGCTACCTTATTGGAGCATATATGATAATTTCAGTCACTAGTTGAAGACGTTGGATAACATGAGTCAGAATGGGTCACATTGTTGCAAGTAGATTCATTCTTTAACTTCCCCTCGTATCTTAAGTTGCAGTATTTCTTCATACATACCTCTTCATTCTGTCAGTGATCAATCAATTGTAAATTCCCTCAATCCTATAGAGGTTAATCGCGGCCTGAATAGCTCATTGTTAACGTCTCAGATTGTGATGCTGAGTGGTGTGAGATCAAATTCGTCAAGGAGAACCAACCCCCTCAAAATTACAGGTACTTCTTTTTGAAAAATGTCAAATAGCATGATACCTCTTTGTCCATGGTTTCCTGCTTACTACACAAAAATATTTGGTTCAAAGCGGAGTGCATAAGTAAACACTTGGTTACTTTAGTAAATTAACTACAAGTTTGTATTGTTGGATATATCATTTATTGTTTTTAAGTCAGTATGAATATAATAATGAACTAAAATTACATTCGTCAGCGTGTGTAAAAAGTCCAAATGAACTAACAACTTTACATGTAAAACATGTGTGTATATCATCGGAAAGTCGATAAATTCATTCATTTGTTTGTCTGAATTTTGTGTAGTTTAGCTGTATCTATTGATTTCTTGAATTAGTTCAAATTTCGATTATTTTTACCGTCATCATCGTCTTGAACCGATACCGATAACGCTTTTCTTCACTACATGTCTATTGTGTATTCAATTTATTTTGAACATTTATTATTTCGATGGTGTGTAATGTTTGGTAATGTTATTTTCAATAGTTTTATGTTTTCTCTATTAGAGTTAATGATAAATTGTAGATTTAGTTGATGTTTCGAAAAACGTTTTCTTAACTAGACAAAGTTTTACGCTATAGATAGACTGTAGTTCAGATAGCCTTGGTTCACTATCTCATTCTAGTGTGCAACTTCTCAGGAATGCGCGTTTATGACTCCATCTGATGGATGTCGACTTAGTGGCTGATAATTAGGCGCTCATCGTTGGACTTGAAGGTCCTGTGTTTAATCCTCTGAGGGATCACGGATTGCCCACTGTTGGGGATTCTCATACTAGAACGAAACAACTGTCCAGTGCTTCTTGGTACTTTCTGGTTGTTTAACTCAAGTCAGTCCGCGATGTGATCTGTAAAACCTAATAAGCTCCGCAAACTCTCCTATAGTAACTAACAATACTATCTGAGATACGTCAACTGACTGAATAAAACTGATGATATGACCTTGACTCTTCAAGAATGCTCATTGATCACCTCCAACGCCTCACATCATAAGAAGCTAAAATAATAGGGACACCTAGTCTGTAACTGAGTACATTTTTATACTTAATTGTGGACTATACACCTTTTATTTACAACTGGTGGTACATCTTCGATACTATGATTTCTCTAGGTTGAGTGGATGAGTTGTAATTTCTGACTAAATGTACTAACACACAACTTTTCGCATATTTCATTACTCTATAAACAGAAATGAAATTTAAAGCAATGAGTCCCTTTTATGGATTTCGATAGAACATGAGAAGAAATGAAACTGAATTTCTGTGTTGTTACTGTTTTAATCCAACTTTTCGAAGGAGGATGTTAAGTTTTTTCACTGACCCGAATTTTCTTTCTTCATATTGAGTCGCTTCCCACTAGTTACTAATTACGGATGTTAAAAGCTGTGAAAGTTTGGCGGTCATTATGTTTGAACTACTATCAGGCTTTGCATATTAGCTTGTAGCTTTTCAATTTTTAAAAAAAGTATTATCGCATCTTTTTGGCTCATTACTAAATGTAGCACATTTTCCAGAATATTTGCGAAACTCACGTTTACTTTCAGCATAAGCTATTTTTGTATTATTTCTGTTTTGCATTTAATTCAGAATCTTACAAGTGTGTATATATTGTGGATGGATTGATAATATTTTGAAATAACTTCACCATACAACGTTCAATCCATGGGATCTAATGAGTACTACTTCCATTCACTGCGGAATACTGTCAACTTATAGGTGATACCACCTAGCTTTTCCAAATTTTACTTCTTATTGACTATTGAAGAAATCTTTAATTTGACATTGAATCAACGACTTAGATTTAACTAAAAAAGATACTGTTTTATATTTATTCAGGGACAAAGATTGAATTCAATCAAAAAATATCTTGTTTACAGGAGGATTCCTGACGTTAATCTCTTGATAACCTATTTTTATTTAAAAAATCGAGGTGTAAAACTCAACTAATAATCATGTATTAATTCTTTTCCAGTCACTGAATGTTTTGACCGATAACAGTGTAAATGCAAGGTGTAAATACAGCCCTGACTTGCAATTCCTTATAAGTCCCACGGTCCCAACTCACATTGATCTGATTCAGATAAGATTACATTCCCTTTGTCAGTTTTTTAAAAGGGCAGTTAAATTCAATATGAGAATAAGTGTCTGTTTGTGACTATAGATTTGGAACCCCATATTTCTTGATAGAAATTAATTCTATTTACTGTAGTTATGTTAAATTATTTTTCCATTATATCTGCTTTGCACTAAACTTAGTGACCATCACTCTTTGGATGATGAAGATGACGATGTAGACGACGTAGCGATTGATTCATTTGATTTGGACAATTCCAATTCATCAATTAATAATCCCACTACTGACGGGCTACATTCAGTACATCAACAGTTACATGATAGTCATGTCAGAACTGGAATTGGGACACTTAACAGTAACAATAACGACAATAGTGGTAATGATGAATCATTAAATTGTTTACCTAAAGTCAAATTATCTTCAAGTCAGGAAAATTTGAATGTGGACGTTTCACAAACATATCCTTTCGGTAATTTATCTTTATAAAAATAGATGGAATTGTTTTGTGTATATTTGAATACCACTTCACTGTGTTTTAGATAATGGGAATATTTTGAATTGTTAGAGATAAGGTGAAATCTGACTCAATTACTGTTTCCTTCACGAACTTTTATCTTTTATTATGGTTAGGTGGTTGCAAGAAGAGTGATGATCCTTCAGTTAAAACGATTGACTTCCAACTGATAGGCTTCAGTTTTTGGAGTCCTGTTTTATCTAAGTAAGTTTAAGCTATTGAACAGTATCGTTAGACCTGAGATATAAATAGTGTAGGTTAAAGCTGAGCACAAAAATGTTTACCTAATAAATGAGTTACATGAACAGTTGTCATGTTGTTCGCCGGTCGGTAAGTTTGAGAATATGATCTCTGTATTACTTATTGCACTGCTACTTACTTCAACATATGATATTGCTTGATAATGATCAAATCGGGGTACGATACTCGTATACAATAGGTTTTTCATTTGTTATTCTGACTTCTATGTGTTATTTATCATAACTTGATAACGTGGTTAACTTGTTAAACTATAGTTTACTTTGAAATGATACAGTAGGTGAAGTTGATATTTAGAGTACGGCCGAGAGTGGAGAGAGTCCGCTCACCTTCTCGAAATGCTGTCACATGGCTACGCGTATATAGCCTCTGCCAGGGAAGTCCTACTCACTTTAACCGATGATGATCAACTACCTCAACGACCAGTTTGTTATTTCTATCCAGTGCCATTCTATTTTTAAAGGTCACATTTCACAGCCACAAATTAAATTGAAATAAACTATTGCGTTGTAATAATCTTCAATAGTCTATTTTTCATGTTGCCATTTTTATTGTAGGCAGTATTATTCAGACACAGGGTGGTAGTGGACAGACATTATTTGATATAAATAGTAGTCAACTGTTACATTCACAACATCAACTCCAGTATTCTAATTTTCCACAACAACAACAGTTGAATAATCCGACGGAATTTCTTTTTACACCTTTATCATATCCTCCTAATGCCAATGTAAATATTTCTTCATTCTCTCCTGCTGTAATATTTGTGCCAGCTTCATATACAACAGCGATCGGTCATAATCGTATGGAATTTGTAGCTGGTCCCGGTGGCACTGCCGTTGATACATCTGATTCATCTGTTGTTGCCTCTTCTTCGTTAACGATATCGCCTAATTTAGGTATCTGTTCATCGATATCTGCTGCATTGCCATTAGATGAGAATATGATTGATATCTGTAAGTTAGTACATGTAAAGTTCTGTTCACACATCTGTAATGTTATGGTATTTAATAAGATATTTTCAGATGTTGTTTGTCATGATCACCTTTCTAAATTGTAGTTATAGTCTTGGTTATTTTATAATGCATACATTTGTTGATAATAAAAATAAGTGACAGAACTGTTTGATTTTTGATTTGTCATCATTTGTAGGCTGTGATAATCTAACAAAAACGGTCCATTCGTAAAGTTTTCTATATTTTTCATAGTTTACATCACGAAATGACCATAGTTATTCAGTTATTGAAAACGGGAAACTATTGGACAGCTGTTTCATCCTAGTATGGGGATCTCTGTCAGTAAACGTCCACCCCCTATAAGGGAACGAACCCAGGACCTATAGGTCTCGCTTCGAGAGCTTAACCCTCTAGACCACTTATTCGGAATTTATTGGATGTGTCCATGAATGGGCAGTACTGAAAAGTTCCATACTAGGTTGAGTCAACTGTCTAGTACTTCCTGGTTTTCAGTGGTTGCATAATTAAGGTTACTTCATCATGTAGACTTTATAATTCAGCAATCTGCATAAACCCGTTGCAATTAAATCTCAGCAAGTCTCGGACAGATTAAACAAAATATGATTTAGGTTTGATTCACTCTACTTGATTAAGTTATCAAGAAAAATTGTTTTGAGAAAATTCTCGCACATAGATTTATAGTTACAGTCTTTTATCAACCTTGGTTAAGTGAACTTACCACCAGTGACGGATTGATGCTCTTGGAAACAGGTATTTTTGATTTTGTGTTCGATTTAGTGACAGTCCATAATGACCATGCATTGATAAAAAAATAACAGGATATTCCAGCCAATCATTCATGAGCGACATAGAATCCTTCGGTTCAAGTTACCACAATATATGAGCACACCAAATTGAGATGATCATAATCAATATCAGAGTAGTAGAAGTAGCAGAAATATTATCGGTAGTACAAACGATTAGGTATGAGCATTGCGTTTCGTGAGGAAAGAATGAATTCGCGAAATAAACAATACATGAAAATTCTTAGAGTTAAGATATAACGAAAAATGAAAAGTGAATAAATCTTCAACATTACGACCGATTCTGAGCCATGCTACTTATCATTGGTTGCAAACATCGAGGGAACACCCAACCAGATAGTCTGTATATAGTGACATGACCCAGTTCAACACTCAGTGACTTCATGGACCGAAGGCTCGTCTTTAAACCTATTCGTACACTAGCAAACATCGTTTATTGAGGTAAACAATTGTTGAGCGTACGTAATAAATATTTCAACCACTTTATTTGATAAAGATTCACTATCCGGTCAACTAATTTTTCATCTTTAGCCGGTACCTTGGATCAGGCCTCAACATTTTTCATATAATAGCTCTAACATAATCAAACAGATCTGTAGTCGTATTTTGTTTCGTTTCTGGTGTTCAGAGATGTTTTTTGTTTTAATTGTTTGTGTATGGTTTTGTTTTCATTAAAACGTACACTGGAAATTATCAATAGCTAAACTACTGTTTCGTTTCACTGTTATAATCTCATAACCTCAGTTATTGTTAAATAATTTATTATACGTAAAACTCTCAGTTCTTTTTCTCAACTCACCTCATTCATTTAATATTCTATATTTATTCAAGCTCGTCTTGGTGGTATTGAAAATCTAATGCCTACAACTATGATTTCATCGAGTACACCAATTAAACAATCATCACCGGATGTTACTGTGTCACATTGTTCACAACCAGAACTGGCTACAAAATCTAATTTATCGTCTAATCGAAATGATACAATAATTCGTTGTCAACCTAATGATGATATACGTATTGATCTGCGTAAAACTGGCGGTGGTTCCGGTCGTTCAGTTAAATTGGAATTACGTGAATTATTAGATCTTGTATTAGCAGCTGCATCTCGTACACCGAATTCTTTAGTCTTAGCAGATAGTGGTAAGATTTATTCTCCACTTCCTGGTACATCACAACGTCCTCCAGTTGGTCTAGTTACTCAATTACTTTGGCGTGCTCGTGCTCTAGACGATCGTGGACCATGGATTTTAACTTTTTCTATGTGGTGGTTAATGCAGCACTATTTTGGCATTGGTAGCCGAATGCATCATGTACGGTTACGCTGGGGACATTTAAGATTGGTATCTAATGTTATTGATCCTCTTACTGGAGAGTTATGTGAAGCAATTGAATATGTTGGTCCTTCGGCATTCACTACAGTTAAAGCATGTGCCCTACTTGAATCTAATTCATCTTCAAAAGATCAACCTGTTCGTCGTGTTTATCCTTCTTCAGGTTGGGGAGAAGCTGAGATTGCAGTTGCTTCAGCATTGGCTTCTGAACACAGCGCTAATCGTCCAAGGGTTCGTCCTCTTGAAATTGATCCAACTGTACCACCCGTTCCTGCTCGTTCTGGTCCTGATTTTGTATCTTTGTATAAATCATTTGCTAGACATAGACAACAAGCATCGTTACTTCCAGAAGCACCATTTTATGTTCAACCTTTACAGGTTAGTGGTTATGTGTGAGTACTATTCTGTTCTGTGGTGTATGTCAACTTTCAAGGTCAATTTCATAAGTTTGCTGACTTATTGAGATTTTATTTGGAATCCTAAACTGCGATATAATAGTCGTTTTGACAGTGATTAATCAAACATTATATTTTACTTGCTGTTACATTCAGCATAACTAACTCGAAAAAGTGAACTTTTACTGATTACTAATATCTTTTGCGATATTACTATTGTCAAGTGATTACATGACTTTCTTCAAAAGTTGACGCAATAATGACTCGTTTTTAGGTGGATTTATATAGTGGCGAGTAGTGGAATCAAACATAAGTGTTTCGTTCTTTTTAACGGTTCTTCGGTTGGGTGTTGACTTTCAGACTCTGAGTCGAACGACGTACCTTTAGCTTCAAACACCCAACTCAGTATTCACTTAACTAATGAGTCCAGAAAACCACTGGCTTGTGCAAAAGAGGGATTTCTAATACATATCTAAGAGTTGTTTGAATCCTTCTGTTGATAGATTAATGACTGAAATTGATCAGCCTCTTTTGTGGTATGTGCATACTGTGCGGATTACTTTGATATTACCCTTAAGTCTTGAGGACTTAAATATTGTTGGCCCCAAACGCCCTGGTACGGCCGAGAGTGGGGAGAGTCCGCTCTCCCTCTCGAAATGCTCTCACATAACTACGCGTATATAGCATCTGCCAGGGAAGTTCTACTCACTTCCTTCTCGTGGCACAGGTGTTGTTTACAAAAATGAGAGGACGAAAAGCGAATGTCCGGCGCTATAACCGGATCCCAAATCAATGACGCACATGGGCTCCAGTATCATGGAGGAACAAATGGCGTATGAACCAATCGTTGGTCACCGGCTACCATGGGACTGCATCTCCTCACGATACTCCACTGCCTTGTGGATCAGACCTTTAGGTTAAAGGCTCGGTGTGGCCCCCTAAGAAAACCACCTGCTTCGGTTTGGGCACCCAAATAGTACCACAGTTCTCACACAAATCAAATGAGATCTGTGTGGTGCATATGTATTCGGTGTCTCCTTGTACCAATACCTATGTGTTAAAATAAAATAAATAAAATATTCCAACAGAGACAATCGCGCAGTTCTGCTTACCATTATATAGATCCAAATTTACATATATTATGATTAAATGGTGGAAATTAGTACATTGCTACACTGAATGCTTCATTCTTGTTACTTAAGTACGTAGACGAATAGGGTGTATTACTATCGATTCATTCGGTCATGAATTAATTTTAATTATGAAATTAAATTAAAAAAATTCGCTCATTCAATTTTATAGTTCGTCCATTTGTCTTCAAGTCACGCTTTAAATATGAAGGGTAGAGATATCACTCAATTGATCGAATCGAAATAGTTGAAAGTATTTTTAAACCGTCAAAAATCGAATGCCTTAGCTCTGAGCCACTGCTCTACATATGATTAATGGAATTTATACCTTACTACATTTTCGGAAAAACTGGTTTGATATAGTTCTTTCGTCTAGTTGTGATAATTATTTCTTAATATGATCCATTTCCAACATTACTGCAATTAACAAAACATATTTCCACTTGACCATTTTTGCACTTACCTCTTTTCTACTATATTGTGTTATCACCAACTGGTGATCATCTCAACGACATTGCATTTCTCCCCTCTTGTATTCATCATCTAATCTATTTATTACAGAGTTCAACTTCAGCTCTTCAATCAAAATCTGCAATTGCTTGGTTCAGTGTTGGCGCATTAGGCAAAAATCGTATTGGTGCATTAATGCGTAATATTGTTGATAAAGTTGTTCGTCCAGATATGCAACGAATTGCAACAGCTGCTCTGTCAGCGGCCACTACTGCATGTGTTATAGCAGCGGATAGAGCCGCATTAGCCTTAAATCAACGTGAGAAATTTAATTGTGTTATGGCTAATCGTTGTTCTACTACTACCACTTCTACAATTATTGCTAATCATAATACTATTAGTAGTAACAGTAATAGTGATAATAATAATACTTTGGATTTAAATTATCGTCAACAGTCATTAGTCGATAAATTATCCTGTTTACTAGGCACTAATATGTCTGGTATGACTAATGCAAGTAATGATACTTTGCTTACATCATCATCACCTACGATTATCAACAACACAAATATCACTCGAACAATTGATACTGGTAGCAACAATACTACTACTATCGGTAATAATAATAATAATCCCAACATAATGATGCTTTCACGTTTAGATAACCCTGAAACCACAAGTATACTTCTTTCATCAACACCAACACTGCTACATTCATCACGTACAGAAGAGATGTGTAATTCAAATAATCAATTTTTATTAAAGCTACCGAAATTAATGCAACAATCAGTATCATCATTACCATCATCAATTGTATCATCTTGTAGTAATAGTTCATTGATGAACACAAATAGTAATAACATATCTTTATCATCTATGATTACTCCACTATCCGGTAAATTGTCACCACCACTGCCCCCATTACAATCATCATCAAAATTAGCTGATTTTCGTAATCAAATTTTATACGAAACCTCACCAGTTCAACAACAACAAAATTTTGTTCATGATAATGATCGAATTATTGTTAATCCAATCAATCAGTTGAGTGCAAACAGTTTTATCCTATTAACCACTGTAGATGGGCATACATTTTTAGCGCCTAGTAGTAGTAGTATTTATCCACCAACCTCAACAGCAACGACAACAATAGCGACTAATCAGTCGAATAGTTATATCTTGATGCCTAATTCAACAGCACCCACATCCACTGGAACTAATACTGCATTTAATACAACTAATCTATCTTTACAACAATCGGAACAGTTCGATCCCATACAACTTCAGTCTCATCAAACTAATCTTAATTCATTGCAACAAAGTACATTTATCTTGTCTAGTTCAAGCAATCCAACTTTAAAAACACAAAATTCGGTAAGTTTTATGTGTATCTTTCTTTAAATATTACACGTTTGTTATACTGTTATGTTTTAAATTTCATTCCTGTAGAGATTTTCTATGAAATACTCTTTAAATTTTCTGTGATCACTTTAATGAGACAATCACTTCAGAGAGACAATCGGGAATCGGAAAGATAAATCATAATAAAACACCGTTTATACCACTCGTTATTGCTATTTAATAAACCTTTAATTGTAGTCGAGGTCGATGGTGTTCGGACACCTTAGAACGATCATCGCATTCATCATAGTTCTGTATTTTCAAATGTCAGTGACCACATTATATTCAGTGGAGCTATTCTCTGTTATCGTTAGTCTGTTAGTCATAAGTAACGTAGAACATAGTACTTGTATTCATTGGCATCCATATTCAGGTTCAAAACCAGCCAGATTTTCCTGTATTTGCTATTCACGAGCCCTAATTAAGCGATGGATGATTATTAAAGTAAATGTTTTAGACGATGTATGGGTCGAATTTATTCCTCTATGGTTATCCTTAGAAGATTTTCCCCTTTCGTGTGTTCTGCAGCCGGGACCCATGTGATGATATTACGCACAGTTCCCAGATTTAGTTTAACCACTTTCCTTAAATATTTCTAGGGTCAATCCATCATTAGCATTTGTTCTCCTTCGTTTTGTTTAACTATAGCTTTTTCCACCACACCGGAAGTGTGGTTATTTTGGAATAGCGGGTAATTGGTGGGTAACTGAAGACTTATCGTCTTCTAACATGTGCTCATATGGATTCAACTATCATCGTTTCTAATTTGTTGCTTCATTATCGTGATGAATGTTTTTTCTTTTGCTTGCTTTAAAATCTAAATTTTTGTATAATTGTTTTCTATAAAAATGTTTGCTTGTTTTCCGTACAAATTATCATCTTAGTTGACAACGACAAAAATCAATTCCACGGCATCTTCACCAGCTACAACCACATCACGAGCATTTAATCAACCTGTGGCATGTCATCTAATATCACATCCAAGTAATAATCATAATAGCACTAATGCAGTACCGGTGAATTTAATTCTCTTATCTACCTCAACTTCGCCTGGTTTCTGTTCTGCTCCAATTGTATTGAATACAACTTTACAACCTCAAATTCAACATCACCAAGAGCAGTCACAATCTTGTAATTTACAAACAATTTATCAATCAGACAGTCGTCAGTGTGATTTTGATTTCAATCTATATTCTGCTAGTAGAGATGGTGGCACTCCCATGGATTCACTTCAACCGTTAATTATTCAAAGAAATGATTCCAATATAGCTACAGTTGTTTTGAATACAAATAATGACGATACACCTCTTCGTCGAACAGTCACTTTAATGAATTCAACGAATCAGACAATTAGAACCAACAGTAATAATAGTAATAACAATAATATTAATGATAATTGTCGAATAAAATTATCCCAAGTAAGCACCAGTTCGGCACCTACCACAAGCACCACAACAAATTGTGTTACTACTACTACTACTACTACTACTACTACTACCATACTTCCAGCCTGTAATCAAATATTTTATGGTCGTAATTCATTACAACATCAACAATTACAATCTCCACTTCAAGGTTTTGAAATATCAGACCACCAAAATTCGACATCCTCTTCAAATGTTGCAGGTACAACTACGACCTCAACTTTAATTCAAGTTAGTCCATTGAAATCAAATTATAATGCACAGAATGGTAGTATTGTTCAAGCTTTTTCATATACTGCTGATAGACAACCGATAACCATTACACAACCTGATAATGTCGTCGGTGACGTTGATCACAATGGCGTTACACAATCACAGTTTTCAACATTAATTGAAGCGAAATTGGAACCATCAACAAATAATTCGCATAGCCTTCTACAACAAAATAATCATGTGAGTTAAAACAGAATATGTTTATACGTTTCACGTGATCTTGAGTGCTGTTAGAGGTATAAGGGTGGTTATCATTTCCCAGTTGCCCACAATGTGGAAGGGTTCTTTTGGAGGTACCTGAAAGGAAAATTGGATTAAAGGTGGTTTTAGTGCCCTGAGAGCATGGCCGCATTGCCCAAGGGCAACTGCATGAATTTGGTCTCATACGACCTTTTTATGAGTAATTTTTGTGTTAGCTCCGTACTTGTTGAGACCTTATCGCCATAAACGGATATCTGTGGGATAAGGCGGGGTGTGCATTTTTAGGCTCGACCTTTTCTAACCCCTTCCTTCCTTGTGGGAAGGCAGCATCACAATTATGCTGGTTGTCTGAAGGAAACATCTTACTGCCGTCACGTCTCTGTACTGTCAGCAGTACGACTTTGCCCTCAGACCTTGGGTTTGCTGCTTTTAGTCTTACCAGTCTGGCATGTTAGGACCTTGCGGAACGATTGTTCCAGCCAGTATAACTCGATTGGTTCATCACGACAGGCAAGTACGACCACCACGTCAAGGTAGAAACAATGGTCGGGTGTACACATTCTATGCCTTCCTTTAAATTATGAGATAAAAATCGCTTCATATCTTTCTAGAATCTAATTCTTTCTTCCCGTACTTATGTCCTCATATGCAATCTTTCTTTTCATATTACTACCACTGAATTAACAACTTCTATGAATCCAGTGTTCATTGTGTTGTGCTAATGAGGTATGGCAACTTGTGCCTGGTCCTACGTTGTAGCTGAATGATACGTTTCACGTTCTTAGAGTTAGTTTCTCATTTTACATACATAACTGATGTATATATATATATATATATATATATATATATATATATATATATATATATAAGGCTAAAAAATATTTAGAATGGGTTTTAGTCATTAGGTTGTAGGTTCGATCTCTCTCATTTCCCTCAAACCATCTGTCTAGTTGTCATTGGTTGTCAATTAAACCTGGATGGATTCAATCGAATATTTACTAATTTCCATAAATTTTCTTATACTATTTCAATATTTTGTTTTGTTTTTGTCCTTAGCTCGTAACTTCATCGAATTCGATGCATAATCAACCAATAATCACTTTTCTTCCATTAAATAATAATTATTTATTCAATAACTCTAGTAATAATTTTACTTCTACAACTGTGACAACTGGTACTACTACTTCTACTATTGCTCATGAAATCGGTTCAACAACGTCTAGAACTACAACTACAAATAATAACAATAAACCGGATATTTATTTTGAAATTCCCCTTAGCAATAGAGATTTGTCTAGCTCAGTTCAAACAGTTTATCGTTTGTTATATACTGACAATTCTGGTCGGACGGTAATCACCAATGAGTCAGCGTTGATTAATGAAGCCGGTCATCTTGTTATTATCAATAATGATAGCATTAGTAATAACAATAATAATCATTTTGTCAGTAGTGAGAATAATAGTAATAATGTGTTGAATGCAATGAGCGTACTTGGGGCTGAGTACTCACCCTACCATTCTTCTTCCTGCGCTTCTTCATCAACTGATCACTATACTATTGACCATCTTCCGAATATTAATAATCGCCAACTTCAGTCGACACCTTGTTCCTCTGTAGTATCGTCAGCATCAACGTTAACAACGGCCTCAACATTATCCTTGCCATTATTGTCTATCGGCGATACATTGACATTATCATCAACAGCGTTGAAACTACAACAATCTAAACATTCATCAGTTACTACATCGAATGTGACAAATCGATTACAAACATCAAACCAACATATTAATAATAATCTTGATGAAATCCATGTTGATTTTATGAATGGTATGTCCAATACTGGTACTACTACTACCACTACTAATACTACTACAAATGCTACTTCCAGAAATGCTACAAATCTCAGTTTTAATGGTGGTGATCAGTTGGTATCTGGCTATCATCATCAAATTAAAATGGACGATAATTGTTATTCATCATCTTCTGTTGTGACGACTGCGGCAAATCCGATGGTGTCTAAAGGACATTATCACAATATGCATAATAATAATAATAATAGTAGTAGTACTACTAATAATAATATTCGAAATAACTCATTATTAACTCTTCCTTCTTTGTCAAGTATGACATGTCATTTAATCCCAGTGGAGCCGAAACCTGATCAATTGAGAACTTTACAGTCTGTGAGTTGTATTTATTACGGATCTGATTTATTAAATATTGGGAATTGTTGTACCATCATGTTACTTCCTATGGCTCAAATGTTGATCTTGCTAGCATTGAATCAATCTACTGGTTTTTTTTAAATAATCATTCAACTTAAACTATGAATACATATGAGTTATTGTTTGTGGTTTTTCTTTGTTGGTTTACACTAATGAACTCAGTGGATAATGGGTTTGGTATTTTTGGTGAAAGGCACTCGGTTCGAGTCTCCCAGTGTAAATATCAGCATGGGTGTAAGTATATCTGGGTCTAAATTCAACAGAAACGTATGGCTCGATTTCACTGCTATCCATATACCTAGTTTGAAACATTCTCACAGTTTTATCCAAGATCTACAATAGCTATGTTGCCAATATATCAACGTGTGCCGAAGAGATCACCTCTCAAATTGTTTAACGAAAATATTAGAAAAACTATTTATTCATTTTGTTGTTAAATTTTTCCATTTTTAGGTTATTAATTCCGCCAGTGCCTTCCAATGTTCCGATTTTCCTGCCTATGTTGAACAGTTATTCCGTAAAGGTATATTGAGTGGTCGAAGACCATGGTGTTTAAATTTTACTGCATGGTTTATCAATACGTTAGTTTTTGAAGTGGAAAATCGTACAGAACATGTCAGTCTACGTTGGGGTGATTTTCGTCTGTGTCAAACTGCAGATAGACAAACAGAATATATTTATTTTATTAATCGAATTACAAATAAACGTTATTATTTAGCTGGATCACCAACATCATGTTGTGCATTGGGTTACAAAAAAAGTGAATTTGATATGAAGTCAATACATGAACCACCTGTTCGATGTCCCTGTCCTGTAGCTATATTCAAGGAATTAAGAGATAGACGACCTAACGGTTGTTTGGATCCTTATTCGAAATTTTACTTACAAGTGTGTTCAATTTTTCTTTTCATTATTATGATTATTAATGTCATTTCCTTGAATCGTATGTTCCAATCATTTGGACCATGAGTTTTAACTAACTTTTTTTGGTTTGTTTAGTATTTGTGTTTCTGTATGTCTTCTGATATTATACATTCTTTGTATATAGATGAAGATGAATTGTATAAGTGACTAGGAAATTGGATTTACAATCAACTGTTATGTTAAGCGACAAGAAACTGATGAATTTAACAACTGTTAATGAAACAGGACCTTTGGAAGACAGTTCATTCATTGTTTAAAGATAGTCATTAAAATAGCCGATAGTCATTCTCAAAGATGTAACAAAATTCATTTAACATTTTTACACCCTGTAGTTTCTGACTCCTTTTGGTTTTATTTAATTATTTTCTACACTCATTCGCGAATGAGTGACTGGCTTTGGGACTATTTACTACTGTGGTAAAATTTCCTTACCTTAAGTTTTCATAATTTCCATTCAACACCAATTTTTTTCAATTATCAGTAATCATTTCACGATATTAGTCAGTCAGTCTTTATCAATGTAAGATCTAGGATAAATTAGTATTAGTCAGAGTTACCACACGTGGTAATATCAATCTGATGAAATATGGAATTAAGGTGATAGGAAAGAAAGTAATGTAATCGTTATCATAGCTTAAATTTGAGAAATACTGTCCAATAGAAGGATATAAAATTTAATAATGAACTAAAGGTTTAGAGATAATAGTGGGAAAGGGACTGAATGCAACGGCGGTAGTGATACCGTTTCGTTACCATTGCACTGATAGGTACTATCTCACAATCACTGATAAATTCGTTTGTTAAACACATTAAACATGGTCAGATCACCAAACCAAAATCAAAAATGAAGCACATCAATTGTAGTTTTGACTATATGATGGGTGTTCTAAGTTCCACACTATGGTGAAATACCTGCCTAGTGCCTCTTGGTTATATATAGCTTAATAATCAATTCGTTAGATAGTGATCTCTTCACTGAATTTTGTGTTTGCGATAGTTGTTCAACTAAGATTAATTAACTATTAATTTGATCAATTCATTTTATATAATTTGTTTGAATCTTCCCATTGATGTTTACGACTGCAATTGATCAATCTCTTATTAGCATATGTACATACTGTGCGGATTGCCTAGATATTGCTTAAGCAACAAATATCATAAACTGAGATGATGGTGCCTAGCAGTGGAACCCAGGACGCGCGTTCCACCCTATTTGGGACTTGTCAGCTGGATGTATCTACATCTCAGCGTTGATGTCCACTCTAAGACTCGAACCCAGTTCCATCCGCTCTGAACGCCATCACATTATACACTTGCCTCCGAGATAAAAGCTTACCAAACTGACGAGTCCCAAATAAGACGAAACGCGCGTCCCGAGTTCCAATGCTAGACACCTTCCATCTTTGCTTGTAATATTAATTTAATTGATTATTTCTACTTTTAGTTCAATGATTGAATAGTTGTTAGTTGTTACTACATGTTTGTTTTTCCTATCCTTTTCTGACTCAAATAACAAAACGTAATTATATAGCCTCGTAATGTTGAATGCCCCGATGCGAATGATATTGAAGAAATACACGATAAAGTTCAAAAATGTCATTTATTACCAGCTAATAGTAATTGGTTCACGGAACATGCATGGGGTAAAAATAAACTTGGTGGTCTATTCGCTGAAGCATCAAAACTTGCTGGCTTACCAACAATCTGGTTACGTAAACATAGATCGAGAAATTTTTTCCCCGGTGGTGGAGGTTCCGGTATCGGTGCATTAGGCAATCTTCATCATCATAACCAATATTTTCCTAAAACTGACAACAATATTGATAGTGATACAAATTTGTACAAATCTAATACTAGCACTATGGAAAACGATGCAGAACATTCGATTATTACATCTAAGGAGAATAAAGAAATGATTAGTAGTACGCATACAGAGAATAAACGTAGACGATTAATGAATTCAGTTAAAGATGTAATTTCAACAACGACTTCGAACACAACAACTACATCGACGACAACGATGGTGTCAACAACAGCGACAACGGTTATTGGAACAATGAATGCAACGATGACTGTTGATCAAAAGGCAAGTAATCCACATTGGTTTGACCAATGTAAATTTATCTGTATTGTTGGAAAAGGCAGAAACAAACGCATAACTTCAACAAACACTATCGTTTTAGAGGGATCTCAGTGATAACATACTTCTTGCCGTTGTCATTTCCTTAAACTGTACAGTCGCATTTATAATTTAATTGGACATGTGGTAGTCTATCATAGAATAGCCGAATGTTGTGTTATTAGACAAAGTTATCAAATAAAGTTTAAAGGACTGACTTAAGATAGTTTAGATCAAATATTTATGCACGGTTTAGGCCTTAGCAATTGATCAATTCAGTTGAAACTGGAATACTACTTATTAATAATTAAATAGTTAAAACAATTACCTACAAATTGTTTCTACAAGGTTGCTTACTAAATTATTTCAGATTATAGGAATAATATTAATCTACTGTAATTAACATGAAAATCGATTGACGATCTCCACATTACATCACTGATTTATTTTCATTAAGGGACTTAGATACATTGGATCAAATTAATCTTCATGATTTTTTGCTCATTCAAATTGTTCATTAGTGTGACGATTATTCATTTACAGTTAATTCAATGAAAAGAATTAGTACGTTAACTATTAGAGAAAGTGATTCAATTGTTTACAGTAGAACGGACAATGTGCATTGAAAGTGTGAATAATTTTAATGTATAATGGTTTGGTAATCTCTAATTGATGAGTCCTTTGTTTGTTGATATAATTCGTACTCCTCAAATAAGTCTATACATTTTTTGTTGTAAGAATATAGAGAGCAAACAGTAGTAACGAAAGATTACTTGTTTACCGAGTTAAATTGATATGTTTGTATATTATTATTATTATTATTATTATTATTATTATTATTATTATTATTATTATTATTATAACAATATGAGCTTCTGTTATAACTATGAAAACTGGTAATTAAAACGTGATCATCCATTTGTATGTTGTTTTAATACGCACTCACCCTCCCATGAACTCTTCTGGGTTCCTTGTTCATTAAAGACGATTGTACATTTGGAACTCTGGACTGTTGTTTATTACCCTTCACATTTTCCTAATTTAATAGACTTTTAATTTGGAGACATCAGAGACCATAATACTACTATCAGTTGTAAGAGTCTTCCCAGCTGTTTTATATTTTACTTGTGGCTGGTTAGTCTTCATTATGCCTTTTCCTAGTGATTTGTAGCAATTTGAAATGTTAGAAGTGGCTGAACAGTCGTTATGCTTTTAAAAAGTGGATAAAATCTGCATCTGTAAATTAATTTCTGGATTTCTCCTTTACACTGTTCAAAACCAATACAAAGATGAGTTAAACCTCACCGCATCCCACAAGCTGGCGGATATCTGGACTCAGTAGTTAAGTACAAAACATAATGGTGTTCGAAGTGAACGCTACTAGGTTTGAGTCTCAGGATGAACATCAACACTGGGGTGCAGGTACATCCGACTGACGATCCCCAAATAGGACGAAACGTGCGTCCTTGGATTCCACTGTTAGCCATGATCACTTCTGCTTTTAGCAGTTCCTCCTGTTTCGAATCTCTTTTCCAGTTACAACAGTGTTGTTAATTGGTTACTGTTTTATGATTAACTTTTTCTCAAATTTATTTTTACAGGATCCTAATATTGTCAATAGTGTAAATATACTACCTAGTTCAATGACTATATTGAAGCCGAAAGAAGTACTGTATACTTCAACTATCAGTTAACAGTTCCAGCTTAATAGACAGTCAGTATACATATACATATACCTACTGCAGATATTTTCTGACCACCTCTTACATATTTCATTCATTCCACATACACAAATATTTCATATTTATTTGTTCGGCTTATTTAATTTTCAATCATCTATGATTTTCAGAATTACACTTACCTAGATATGGAACTCTACTAATTCTGTTTATCTACATTTGATTTAATGAATTGATTATAATAAGCAAACCAAAAGAGAGAGAGAGGAGATGAAGCAATACAACATGCATATCGTCACCTTTTTTTCTTATAGAAATTGCTTTGCGATAATGATTATTTCGTACAGTTTAATTGTTCTATGTTTTGTATACAGTGATAGGGTATTGTAGTACTTACAGTGGTAATATTAGTAGTAGTATTAATAGTAGTACATTACTGATGGCTTTTCCTGTTGTTTTTTCATATGAGTGCAGTATTTTCTTTTTACTTAAACTTGATTAATTTTATGATATTTGCTTATTTCCATAACACAACTAGAAGCAATAGTCATAATTTAGTGTTAAAATTATTACATCTACATGAATTATTTTCATTATAATTATATTCATTATTATTATTACAATTATTATTGATGTATATATAGTTTCACACTTCAGAGATTATATCTATGTTCTATGTACTTCACTGTTTGATTGCTTATTTTAACTACTAACTTATTATTGCTGTTTGTTTGTTTTTCCCTATTTCCATGTATATGTTATCGTACTACTGATTTGCCCAAATTGCTTTTAATATACTAAAATACACAGAAATAACAATATACCTCAATTTATGGATGTTGTTTTAAGTGATTTTCTAGAGAACCATTGATTTTTCTTCTTTTTAGTTGTCATTTCAGTGATGAGGGTATGACGATGATAATTTTTGCCACAGTTATTGTATACTGTCTATTTCTCGTTGAATTATGCCTTTCAACATGTCACACACATCCGCAGTCCTGTGTTCTGCTACTTGTAGTCCATATATATATATATATATATATATATATATATATATATATCACTGTACACATAGGTTGTTGCTTTCAACTAAATACCCTCTTGTTCATCTGTCGCTCCCAACCGTGTACACATTAATTCACTTTTTCGATAATCCATAAAATGTAAATGTCCGTAAATAATATGAAGTGGATTTATATGTGCAGTGTATTCTAGTTTGTTGCCCTCTCCTCTCGGGTACTCAGTGAAATTCCTACCATATGTATGTATATACACACACACACACACTCAATACTACATATTTTAATTCAATGAAAGTCATGTAATTTTTATTATCGTCTTTTTCTACAATAGTCATTTCTATATTTATATATTCAATTTCTTCATGTGCATATATACATGTATATTTAACATTGTTATCTTAATTATTTTTTATATGAACAGAAAATTTAGCATATTATTACAATTACATAATCACTAGTTGCTTTCTATTACATATAATTCTATACATAATTTGATTGTGCTTTCGTTTTAATAATTAAACAGCATTTTCTTTTAATTGTAGAGCATATTTCCCTCCTCACTATATTAATGACAATATTGTTGTTCATTTATTATTGTCATCTATGAACGTTTGCTTGTATTGTTTGTTTACAACGATGTTTTCATACACGTCTGTTTTTTGTTTGTTTTCTAATTGTTGTGTAAAAGTGTTTTTGTTTCTTTCACCGAAAGTCTGTTACAAATTATGTTTATTATTATTATTATTATTATTACTTCTAGTAATCATTCTGTTTTACACGTTATCACTATTATAATTATAATCGGTTATTATTTATATGGTAAAGTTAAAATTAAAGCATTTTCTTTTAAAGAAAAGAAATTTAACGATTGAATGTTTCTTTAATGTTAAGGTACTAAAAGAAATCAATTATCTGTCATTTCTATTCTTAAAGAGAAGATTCAAGTAAACAATACAAAATGTATTTAAACTTCACCCCATTGTACAAGTAAGTGGCTATTAGGATTGAATAGATAAATGGATAACGCAATGGTGTTTAAAGCGAACGTCACTATGTTCGAGTCCTAGAGTGAACATCCACTCTGAGATTCAGGTACATCCAGCTAAAGTGTCCCACATAGGACAAAACGTGTATCCTGGATTCTACTGCTAGTCACTATTTATCTTTGTTTATAATACTTTATGTTTTTATCTGATAACACAATGAATTAAAATATTCGTGAAGTTAGACAAAGCAAATGCTTTATGAGAATATTATTACACATTTGTATATCCTGACACGATTAGTATCCGAGATGTATGTATCCACTTATATAAAACAACAAGTGCTCATTATGAACTTTCAAATATTTCTAAAGAGATAACTAAATATAAGACCATCATCGAGAAGATCATTAGATCTATAATTACTGAATGTTTACATTTAGTAAATTTGGAATGATAGAAAAGGCATCAAATCTTTTTCTTTATATAATTCCTAAATAAATGTCGGATGTTTACTAACATTCTGGTAAATAACTAACTAGAAAAATATAATCAATATCAATAGTAAACGAAAGTTATAGAATCATAACGTATCAAAATATTATAAGTTTGCTTTTAATTACATAATTAACATGTGAAAATGTGTGAAGGAGTGGATTTTTGAAAATGAAGAGTGAGATCATGGTTACATTTCTCACTAGGTACACTCGTATTTTGATCAAGATGTGAGAAAAATATACATTTAATTTATTATGGTCATTTATTTTTGCAGTTAGTTTATTCTGATTCTAAAATAAAAAGAATTCTCAACTAGTTATTACTATAAGCACTATGAATGATGACTGACAATACTTGAATAGTTCTTGACATTAGTGTTTTTTTTCCTTATTCTGGTTAGCGTTTTTTGTAGCAAGGTTGTTTTCTACGAAGTGAGAATGTTGACCTGACGCCCAACTCACCTCCCTTACCCACTGTTGAGACTGGCAGTAGCCCTAGATGAGCTTACGGCGGAGCTAATAGTGTATTACACTGAATATAAAATTTATAAGTTGATTATCTGATAACTTACCAGGGTACAACATAATTTCACAGTGACCTCCCAATATGAAACGGATATTAACGAAAAATTATTTCCCGTTGTTGGTTATTATACAATGGAATAATTTCCTGTGATAAACAATGAAGAGCGATATTTTCATGTAACCGTGTACCACAAAAGTTCAGATTACAACGTTTTATAGTTGACTATCAAGTTTGAACTGAAAGTAAATTTATTTAACTCAAACACGGAATATTGAATTAACCATGTAGAATCAGTTTTCAAAATTAATGGAATTATAAACTTGTTAAAATTTGTAGAAAATCGAAATAGAGCTTGTTCATATAAAAAAAGTAGACAATAATCAGTGAAATAAAAATTATTGACTTTTAACGACGTTTGACTAATTCGTTATTAACTTTGTTTTATTGATGGAGAGGAAAATGGACAGTGATAGTAAAATTCAGTGTCCCTAAATAGTTTGATATTCTTTTTCAATTACCAAACGAAAAGATAAAACCAAATATTTCTGAGGAATTTCATTAGACTTTACTTGGTCACTACTCCTATCTCCAAGTAAATTGCCTAGTAAATCACTACCCATCTTTTATTTATCATATAGACACTAAGTTCACTTAAATTAATGTGGCTGTATTTCAATTTTTTCGGGTTTTAAGTTCTACAGAACTAGTCTGAGGAATCCCCATAAAGTCAAAACACTTATTTTATTAGAATTACTTAGCTACTTATAGTTTGTGAGTACTTTATTGTTCAATGTATCAATATAATGAACTGATTTGAAATTTATTTAAAATCAAATGAAGATATTTTAATTATTCACGTATTGATCAATAATAGAAGTCTGGTTTTTAAAGTGAGTAAGCATTTACTGGAGTTGAGTATCGTATTCATTTTGATCATTACATTTTATTTTTCCTCTATAATACGTGAAGGGACGTTATTTGAAAGGAACTGTGATCATAAGTATGGAGTCATTTTCACAGTTTGCATCACGGACTGATCCCAGTTAAAATCCTGTTGAGAAGCAATATTCAGTGGTTAACTGTTTCACCGTAGTATGACACTTCTCAGTAGTAAGTATCCACGATACCCCATTCGGAAATCCAACCTAGTATTTTCGATCTCACGTGTGGACGTTTAACTCCTGAATTACTGAGCCGTAATTCCAATGGTACAGATGGATAATTTTAATCGATTTACGATAGTTAGCAAATATATCTCATTACCCAATATGGCTGAGCCCAGCTTATCACAGATTCACACTAGAAACTCCCGGAATTGCAAGTTCAAGTTAGTCACCTATGAATACAGGACCAAGTTTTCATAAAATTATGGCCACATACTGAAATTGACAACTAAACATTGGTCTCCAAGCATTATGCTAACTTTATTGATATGATGTAAATAAACTTGAACAGTACCAACGACCTTAAGCATACAACTAAGATTTAGAGCTGCCCATTTAGGGTGTTTGAGTGGAATTCTACGGGAAGATATGGACAGTGAAGATGCTACGGGTATTCTGAGTTTGACAACTCTAACCAGTAACACCTAATATGAATCGTACCCACCAACATAAATCAAGAGACAGAGTCGAGGAGATCGAAGATATATTTGATAAGCTATCAATATATCGAGGACCGTCTGAACTAATCTGGCTAGCGATTGCAGTAGATGTTGAGCACGGCGTTCCCATACGTGATCTGGTGCTAATGCATGACAGCGCCTTCAGTTAGATGAGTCAATTAAAACTGCGGTCAGCAAGCAATGTCGAAAACTTACAGAGCTATTCATTTTGGGGATTTATTTACCGCTTCAGATCACTCCCCCCTCAGTGGGGTAGTGATGACCCTAAGACATGGCCAGCCAGAAGTTTAAACCCAACGAGTTTGTCGTTGGTAAACACTCTTGTGATAGCTTGCTAGGTTTAGCAGCGTCTGGTCGTCTTTCCTTGTTACAAGGGACCATGATATACAATATAGTAAAAAAGTACAATGAAGATTTCCGTTTCTCGCAAGCTTAATCATTCTGTTTATCGTCTTTTCCAGCCGTCCTGGAAAAGAAAAAAAAATGTGAGTGTATGTCGAAATACACTCGTACGCGCGTAAAAACACAAAGCGGGCGAAAAAGTGAAATAAACTCATGCACGCGTAATAGCGTATAAAAAGGGATTTTTACAATATGGTTTTTTGTTTTGTTTTGAAATAAAAATATAAATATGTAGGCATATTAAAATTGGTTTTTTTATTTAAATATAGTATAAAGAAAAGTCGAGATGATATAAAATGTCAAGTAGTATCTTACGTGCAATAATCGTTCAAATGTTCTGGAAATCTTACTCTTCTTCCAGAACGCGTTATTTTAAGTTTATTTTCTGATACCACAGAAGTGTCATCGTGTGTGTTGGATGGCTGTCGAGGTATTATAAGTGTAGGAGTCGTGTTGTGCGATTGTACTGAAGGAAATTCGACGTGAATAGGATTTCCTTCTAAATACGCTGCTTCGAGGCGATCGATGCTGATGCTACCGTTGGTTCCGTTCTTATCGATTATATAGTACTTGGGTTCGCGTTGAAGAACTTTCAAGTGTCCTTCGTATTCCGATTCGAGAAGTCGTTAATGTGAGTCTCGACGAACGAAAACGTGTGAACTATATCGTAAGTCAGGTTGAACGAAAACATCAGTTGATTGTGGTCGAGTGGAAACAGGTTTAACTGAACGCACTGCGTTTGCAAGCTTGTTCGTATAGGAGGTTAGATCCATGTTCATTGAAGAGGACGAAGGATCCACGAATTCTCCTGCAAGTCGAAGGGTCGTTCCATATACGAGTTGAGCTGCAGTGTATCCAATCTCAGCTTTCACTGAATTGTGAATACCAAGTAAGACGAGTGGGAGAGCGTCAGTCCACTGAGAAATGTTTGAGGCTGATAGTGAAGCTTTTAGTTGTCGGTGAAGGCGTCCTACTAACCCGTTTGCATGTGGGTGGTAGGCGGTCGTTCGGAAGCGAGTGATTTTCTATTATTGCGGTCAGACAACGGAACAGTTAAGATTCGAACTGGGGTCCACGATCTGTGGTGATGGTTGAAGAGCAGCCGTAGTTTGCTACCCATCGTTCGACGAATGCGCGGGCCACTGTTTCAGCAGTGATGTCCTTGATAGGTGATGAAACGGTCTACGCAGGCTAAGAGATAAGAATATCCATTTGAATCTGGTAAAGGTCCTACCAAATCCAGATGGACATGGTCGAAATGATTATCAGGAGTTTCGGATGAACCTAAGAGACATTTATTGTGTCTGATAACCTTAGATTTTCGGTAGCTTACACAGGAGCGTGCCCACTCTCTCACGTCTTTATTCATACCAGGCCAGCAAAACCGTTCTGCTATAAGCTTAATGGTTGCACGAACACCTGGATGAGAAAGTTTGTGAAATGTATTGACGACGTTGCGTCAATAATGCTTCGACACGATTGGGCGATCCCTACCTGTAGATGTGTCACACAGTAAGGTTTCCTTACCTGTTCCTATCTTTTTAATGCACAGTTTAATGGTTGTTGACGATAACTCGTGCTGGAGATCAGTGTCTTCTTTTTGATGCTGGGTGAGTTTTAGAAGGTCGATTCCTTGGAAACTGTTCAAGGAAGTTATTTGAGACAAGGTGTCTGAGACTACATTGTTTGCTCCAGAAATGTGTTGAATGTCTGAAGTAAACTGCGAAATGTAGTCCAGCTGTCGAAACTCACGCAGTGAATACTTGTCTGAAGAAAAGCTTAAAGAGAAAGTAAGAGGTTTACGGTCAGCGAAAAGAGTAAATTCACGGGCTG